GGGATAATTGTTAATGATTTTAAAGTTTCAGGGGATTTTTAAGGATAATTTTAATTGATCGGCCTGTTTAAATATTTCTTTTTAATTCGGCTTTTAATTATTGTATTTGTATTGTAGTTTTTATGAGGCTGTTAGCCGCCCTGAGTCCCATGAGGAGAAGGGCGGGGTATAAATTAAATTATAAATAAATAAATAAATATAAATCCTTTCATTCCTTACCTGTCAGTTAGAACTGAAGAAGCTTCTTGGATGAGAAGCGAAAGGTTTTCAAAGGGAAAAAAACAAGGAGGTCCAGTAGCCTTTTGGAAAAAGCACCTTTGGAATAGAATTGCTAGGTTCACACAGCACACTGAACCAAAGCTGCCTAATAGGATTGGCAGCCCTTACAAGGACTCCCAATTCCAACTGGGATTCGATACCAAAATGGTACTTCAAAGTGCAGCTACCATACTGTCTCATGGTTGCTTTCAGAGTGGCTGACAGATGTAATGTTTCTGGCCTAGCAACTCTAAAGTTCTCTTTTGTGACTAAAACTAAAATGCTATGACCCTGCTATCGTTTTAGCCTATTCCAATGTGTAAATTCAATTTAGACAGTTGCTAAATCTGTCTGCATCAGTCCTAGTCTATTTGCCTTACCAATTTCCACAGTGTTTTCCGTTTCTGTTGTCTCCAATCCATCCATGCTGTCTTCATCCTCCACCGTAGGTTTTCCTCTATTTCGAGGCCTATAAGAGGAAAGAAAAACACAATTTATAATATTAGAAAAAAAAGCACAAAATTACCCAGGAAATTGTTTTGCTCATTACAGTAATAAATTTTCTTAAACATAAAACATTAAATCTTACCAAGACTAATGGATAAAATGTACAATACAGAGAAATGTCAAGGTATACATTTTCTATTTGCTCCTAATGTAACATCAGAAGCAAATAAACTACTAGTCATACGACCATAACTGAGCCCAAAATGTCTGTTGCAAAGTGAGACAGTTGTTAAGTGACTTTTGCCCCATTTTATGATCTTTTGTGCCACAGTTGTTAAGTGAATCACTACAGTCATTCAGTTAGTAAACACGGTCGTTAAATGAATCTGGCTTCCCCATTGACTTTGCTTGTCAGAAGGTTGCAAAAGGGGATCACGTGACCCCGGGATGCTGTGACTGTCATAAATATGAGCCAGTTGCCAAGCGTCTGAATTTTTATCACCTGACCAAGAGGTGCTACAACGATCATAGATCATAAGAATGAAAACTGGTCATAAATCACTTTTTTCAGTGCCGTTGTAGCTATGAATGGTCACTAAATAAACTGTTGTAAATTGAGGACTACCTGTACTTTAATAAAAGAATCTGGATCCTAAAGGGGATCTCCTCCTTTAAATAGTAATGAACAAATCTTTTTAACAGATCTCTCGATTCTAAATAATGTTGTGATCTAAACTAACTAAGTATTTATCTTTGGATCTTGGCCACATTTTAAACTTCAAAATAAGACTGTAACAATTTTATTTGATGAATAAAATATAAAATCTTTGGGTCAATTATTAACAATACAAAGTTTAATCCAGCAATAGCACAACACCCAGTCACTTCTCAGAGATGTGCAGCTACTATATATAAATATGATTAATAAATAAAAGTAGAATCTGTATTGTTTTGATACAAACATAATATAGCACTTTTGTGCATATGCAGCTGAGATTGCTTGTTCTAAATTTACAGCAAACAAAAATATTTACTTATATGTATAGATTATAAACATGAAAAGATTGAAAAGATTATAAACTTGAAAAGCTTTCAACTGATAATAGGTCTAAAATCTGAAACTTTGCAAAATTACTGGAGACTGTAGGAAAAGTGGTGGGGTAAACATCAAAGTCTAAAGGGCAAAAACAGAAAAGACACACAAATATACTTTCCATTATTTAGATTAATTCAACAGTTATCTGATATTTTCACTGGTATATTAATTTTATAATAATTCTGCAGTTAAAATATTGATGTCAATTATTTGTGACAGTAATAGAATGAAAATGATCATTACAATGCTTGGTGTTTGATGTGCCTTCATCTGTAGCTGATTTTCATTTTTATTTTTATGCAATATACACTCATGAAGCGGGTATGATGATGAAAGTAAGTTCCTTTAACATAAAGAATTTAACAGCCAACCTTTTAAAAATAATCTCTGAGAGGTCCAGTAAACATGACAAAAAATCTTTTGGTGGATGTGTCATCTTAATATAAAAATCCGTATGCTCATTTCCCATTATGGTTCCTTTCTTTTCTTTTTAAATTTCACGATTTTTTCTTTATAAATTACTTTGTATCATGTTAGTGGAGCGCAGTAGCTCACATGGCTGGGATGCTGGGGTGACGATTGGCAGGCTTGCCATGTGATGGGGGGGTAAACTCCCATCACTTTTCCAGCTCCTGCTAAAGCAGCAGTTCAATAGCAGGCGACCACAAGTAGATAGATGGGTACCACTTTGGTGGGCAGCTTAATGGGGACATGAAAGGAATCCGCAACTAGGTGCCCCTCGGGCAATAATGATGTCACCAGCTAATTCTTTCAATCTGGAAGCACTTTGGTGCTCCCAATACGACTGTAGAATCATGCACTGTATGGGAACATACTCTAGAACACGGGTGTCAAACTTGCAACGTCACATGATGTGTCACGACATATCTTGACTTTTTTCCATTGCCGGCAATGGGGTGGGTGCGGTTTTGGCGTGACGCATCCAGCCCATGGGCCGGCAGTTTGACACCCTTGCTCTAGAGGATAGACCTGAAAAAAACTTAATTTGAATTTAATGATTTTTCCCTTCTATTGCATTTAAAATTACAAATGGATAACATTTTTGGATTTCTCAGTTGTCTATAGGCTTTTAGATTTGGAAAATGATTCTATTAAAATGACTATTTGTTTTCAGTCTAAGAATCCATAATATTAAATCTATATGACATGTAAATGCTATTGGGGGGAAAATAATACAAATATTTAAGGCTTATGCAGTACATTATATGAAAATTGTACAGTTGTATACTGCATATTAAAATATGTTTCTTAATGCTTCTATCAATTTATCTAGAACAAAATTAAACTATCATGGTCTATTTACACATGCTTTATGGTTGATGTGACCTTTTATATGTATTTTTTCTCCTCTATCTTGCTAGTTTTGATCAGGGGAAAAATTTTATTACATAGTCTGCAGTTAACAGTTGTATGTATTTGAAAAAAAATCTTATGTAGCACTCTTATAAAAGAGTCTTTCACTTGAGGCCTTTGAAGTTCCTTTGTGTTCAGTACAATTTATTAAGGTAGGTGTGATGCTTGTAACCCTTCATGCTCTAAACACAGGATCCAATGTAAATACTTTCTTGTTTTAAGCAGTAGAGAAATCTGTGCAACACCAATAGGTAGTTCCAGATCAGTTACAAGTTTTTTGCAATCATGAAAGATAATGAAATCATGAGAGAATATTAGGTCATTATTGCTGTGAACATTATTCAAATCCAGGAAAATATTGCTATTTTAAGAATCAAATCAATAGACTCAACTTAATTCTTCCGGTAAACTTAACGATCAATCTTGATTCAGAGAAAAGTGAAAATTGTATTCATATGAGAAGGAAGAAAGAAGATATATTCCAAAAGTTACAATCATATCCTGTACCTTGGGGATAATATGTCAAGATACATAACTGAAAATATTCAGTCAAAATTATGAAGACCACACTGATGTGTCTCCTATTTTTCTATTTCCTCATTGTAAAAATTTACACCATGGTAGTAATTGGCAGGGACAAAATTATATAGCAATTAGGGCATGACAGCAAAAGCAAACAAGTACTGAAGGTAACAAGCAGGTAATTATCACAGCAGCTTGAAAGGGGCATAATCAAACCAAGTGACATCATTCCACCTACATAATAAATGTGAAGTCCCTTTATGTCCAATGCAACTTTTACACATAGCTGGTAGTGGAACCAGTCTATTTTCCATGTATAACTCCTTTGACATATCCTTGTGTTAAGCTGAGAGAACGTTTCTGACATCAATGTTTCAAATATAAAATAATATATTTAATAGAAATACAGGTTTACAGATTGATATTTAATATTTGCATTAAATATTAAAATACTATATTTCTATCTTTTTATCACACTAAAAGGTAACTACAAGGATTTTAAAGTAGCTCCTGATCATATTTTAATACTACATCCACTTCTTTTAATAGGCAGTGCATGAAAACAGTTCAATTGACTTTTCCTCATTTTAATGTCTAAGAATACATTTATATCTAATGAAAATTGTTCCAAATCCTCTGAAGAGTTGTTATATTATGGTGTATAGCTTATTCACAAAGGATTTTTCAAAACCCCTGTGAGATATAATTATACAGTCCTTTTACAATTTTAAGCACAAGACGTTCCTACAATAATAATAATAATAATAATAATAATAATAATAATAATAATAATAATAATAATAATAATTTAATTTATATACCGCCCTTCTCCCGCAGGACTCAGGGCGGTGCACAGCATATTAAAACAAATACAAATACAAAATACAAAAAATATAAACCCCTATAAAACCAAATTAAAAACCAAATATTTGAAGCTGTATTTCCTATTAAAATTATTCTTAAAATCATCCCTAAGTAAAATCCTCCCTAGGTCAGGCCCGCTTGCTGGAAAAGCCATGTCTTGAGGGCGCGGCGGAAAGTAAGGAGATCCGGAATCGTCCGGATCTCGGGGGGTAGTTCGTTCCAGAGGGTGGGGGCACCCACAGAGAAGGCCCTCCCCCTGGGGGTCGNTCGCCAGCCGACATTGTTTGGCCGACGGCACCCTGAGGAGACCCACTCTGTGGGAGCGTACCGGTCTATGGGAGGAAATCTGTGGCAGAAGGCGGTCTCGGAGGTAACCAGGTCCGATGCCATGGAGCGTTTTAAAGGTGGTAACTAACACCTTAAAGCGCACTCGGAAGACCACTGGTAACCAGTGCAGCTCGCGCAAGAGCGGTGTTACATGGGAGCGACGAGTCCCTCCCAACACCGCCCGCGCGGCCGCATTCTGGACCAGTTGAAGTCTCCGGGTGCTCCTCAAAGGGAGCCCCATGTAAAGAGCATTACAGTAGTCCAGGCGGGAGGTGACGAGAGCTTGAGTGACTGTGCGCAGAGCGTCCCGGTCCAGAAAAGGACGCAACTGGTAAATCAGGCGGACCTGATAGAACGCCCCCCTGGTCACAGCCGACAAATGGTCTTCCAGTGTCAGCCGTGGATCCAGGAGGACACCCAAGTTGCGTGCCTTCTCTGAGGGGGCCAAAATTTCGCCCCCTATAGTCAGCGATGGAGTCAGCTGACTATGCCGAGGCGCCGGCAACCACAGCCACTCGGTCTTGGAAGGGTTGAGCCTGAGTCTGTTCCTCCCCATCCCTATACTCTATCCTGTTTCCATTATGGAATAAAGTCTTATTCCCAAGTACTGCTGCTGGCCAATTTTTGTTAAATACCATGTTTTCCCGAAAGTAAGCCCCACCCCAAAAATAAGCCCTAGTTTTGGGGCAAGGTACATTACCTAAAAATCAAGCTAGGGTGGGGGGAGCTGCCCTATGTGCCCGCAACCACTTACCTTGCAGCCAGATCTCTTCTCGTCGGCCCACTTCTTCTCAGGCATCCACAGGCCTGCATTCTGCAGTCAGACCTTTTCGGAAGGC